TTACTTAAATATTTTATTATTAATTGCATTTATAAAAATGCAATTTTTATATTTTATATGCAATTTTTATATAATTATTTATGTAGATTCTTTTTGTAATTTATAAAATAAAAATAAATAAAAATGAACACTAATAATAGAATATATAGATAGATAGATAGATAGTATATTATATGTAGTAAATGTTCCTCAATATTCTATAAAAAAACTTTTAAATTATGACATAGTTAACTCGTATTAATAATTAATAAAAATATATAATGCATTTTGATGTTTTATTATTGATAATAATTATTAAATCAATAATAAACCACATCAAGAATGAACTTTTATTAACTTTTTTCAAGACTACAAATCTTGAGAAAGCATTTCACGTTGTCATACGCAACAAGCGCGAAACGTAAACATGCTTTGTGTCTCGCCTTATACTCGGCTTGGTGAGAGGGAGACGGAACATAATATGTCTGCACTCTTCCACGAGCGCACACGGACGACGGCGGTTTCGCTTGTGTGCGTTCCCCCACCACTTCGGTGCTGGCCGGCTGCTTGATCTTTCTCGACGCTTGGAATCGTGCACATAGCACGGAATAGAACCATATCCACGTTTGGACATAGCGTACGTATCGACAAGTCGCTCGTGGACATCGCTACGTAGTTGCCAATGTGCACCACTCATGGACATGCGCTAGCTTACGGGCCAGAATAGCGATCGTAAAAACTCTTATAGGCCTGGCCACTGTCAGTAATTGTGTTTTGAACTTGATATTATATATTTAAATTTGTTGTAAATTGAATGATTAAGTATTTATTAGCTAAAAGTAACTTTTATTATATAAGAGATATATATTTAGAAATTGGTTATATATATTTACTGTTAGTTTAGGCGATTTTTGGCGATCGTATGGTACATATACCAAAGTGTATCGCCTTTTGTGAATGATTATTTGGTGACACACAGAATTCTTAATCAAATAATTTATTGTATTTATATTACACAGGCACCATGCCATCAAGTTGCACTGCATACAATTGTTCAAACAGAAGTGATCAAGGCTATGCATTGGCAAGATATNCGCATGATGAAGGTTTAAAGAGAAAATGGATTGCTGCAGTTGAAAGAGGCAAGAACTGGTCACCTAGTAGTTTTCAAAAACTACTTTGCGAGGTTAGTAGCAATGTGCAATATGTTCTAATTTTCTACTTCAAAAGATAAACATATAATAATGCAATATATTGTTAGAATTACAGCATGTTTGTGATTGTTTTGTAGATACACTTTAAGCCATCAGAAATCGAATTGAAAAAATCTCTCTTTGTTAAAAACAGGTTTTAAGTACGTAGGTTTTAAGAGATTTTTTCAATTTATATATGCCACAATTACAAGATCATTGTTTTCTATTGTCCAATGTTTGTTGAAGAAAGGAAACAACTTTCCTCAACATATCATTTTCTCTGCGTATTTCTTCAATGAATTCCTCTGGTTTATGTAATATTTCATTTGTCTTAATAGGAGGTTGCATAGCAATGCAAGAATCATTGTGTTTATCAGCAGAGATTTGACGCAGATAAGAACCATTCCCATTTTTCGAGATGTTTCTTAACTTTCTACGACAGTTTTCTTGATCTTTTGAAGAACACGAGATGGAATTGCATCAAACTTTACACGTTTGCGTCTAGCAACAAATTCGATTTCTGATGGCTTAAAGTGTATCTACAAAAAAATCACAAACATGCTGTAATTCTAACAATATATTGCATTATTATATGTTTATTTTTTGAAGTAGAAAATTAGAACATATTGCACATTGCTACTAACCTCGCAAAGTAGTTTTTGAAAACTACTAGGTGACCAGTTCTTGCCTCTTTCAACTGCAGCAATCCATTTTCTCTTTAAACCTTCATCATGCGNATATCTTGCCAATGCATAGCCTTGATCACTTCTGTTTGAACAATTGTATGCAGTGCAACTTGATGGCATGGTGCCTGTGTAATATAAATACAATAAATTATTTGATTAAGAATTCTGTGTGTCACCAAATAATCATTCACAAACTAACAGTAAATATATATAACCAATTTCTAAATATATATCTCTTATATAATAAAAGTTACTTTTAGCTAATAAATACTTAATCATTCAATTTACAACAAATTTAAATATATAATATCAAGTTCAAAACACAATTACTAATATTTAACGATTACTAACCTCCTGTATCCACCAACATCTATCAATGCACTGGCGTCGCATGTCAAAATCTGCACATATTGATGCCAGCCAATCGCGGCGTAGCTGGTCACATGACCAAGTTGGCGATTTTCTCTCCTAGAGGTTCTCTAGATATTAGTAATAAATTAGAAGTTAGAAGCAAGAAATTGACTAATTACAATCGATTATTCTTCTGTGATTTGACTGTGATTGGTCAATTTCTTGATCTGACTTCTGCTTTATTACTAATATCTCATTGTAGAAGGCCCTTAAGGGCCATTGCACGTGAAAAGATGTTAACCGTAACCGTAAGGTCGTAAGTAATTCAACCAATTACAGACCAGTATTATTACATTAGTTGGAATACTCACCAGCGATTAGTCGATTTGCTTACAGTCTGTTCTACAATACAGTCGTAAGCCGTAAGAAATTGACCAATCCCAATCGATTATTCTTCTGTAATTGATCTGTGATTGATCAGTTTCTTACGACTTACAGCTTACAACAGCCTACGACCTTGCGACTACGTCTAAAGGGCTGTCTACAATGGAGAGTTTTAGACCGTAACAGTAAGAAATTGACCAATCACAGACGAAGTACAGAAGAATAATCGATTGTGATTTGTCAATTTCTTACTGTTACGGCCTAAAACTCTCCATTGTAGACGGCTCTTAAAGGGCCTTCTACAATGAGATATTAGTAATAAATCAGAAGTCAGAAGCAAGAAATTGACCAATCACAGTCAAATCACAGAAGAATAATCGATTGTGATTAGTCAATTTCTTGCTTCTAACTTCTAATTTATTACTAATATTAACATACAAAGATGTTTTTTCGGGTTTGAACCGCGTTAGTGTCATTTTTATACCGACGTTTCGTGAACATTACAGCTCACTTCATCAGGGTTTAAAGAGCAGCCTGATACTGAGATGCTCTTGGTCAGGTGTCCCTTTAAAATGACACTAACGCGGTTCAAACCCGAAAAAACATCTTTGTATGTTAATACTACACACCGTGAAAGTATCAAATATCAGATTATTACTAATATCTTATTGTAGAAGGCCCTTAAACTTTTGCCGTATGCATTGGCCTTAAGGGCCGTCTACAATGGAAGTAGGCAGTATAATATTCTTCAAATAATGTCAATATTCTGAGATGTTTGCGTTGCATGTATGTAAATCGAACGATTGATAATGAGGCATTACGACGTACCGGTGTAATTAGAGATGGATGTAGTAGCCTCGCAATGAGGTACCTTTCCGTCCCACGTACCATTGCCACAGTGCAGTGAAGCATCGCCGACGAATTTATATTTACCTAATTCCCGACATCTCACCGTAACCCGTTCGTTGTGGGGTACAGTGATCTTGTCTACCTACAAAATTTAATCTCTAAAAAGCGCCAAAAAATATTTTTGAACAAGTACGAGAACAAAAAAATGTTCTTTAACTCGAGAAACTTGCGCGTTTTTCACAATAGTTTTTTCACAAAATCGAACAATATTTTAATATCATACTGTATGCGCAGAACTTTATTAATTATTTAAGTCAAAACAATATATCACTTTTATAATAAATAAATGAAGTAGAAGACATAACCGTTACTTACAGAAACAGTGATTTGTTTATAAGTAACGATAAGGAGAGGATGAAGACCTTCTAATCTGCATCCGCGCTGGAAGCCGTCAGTATCGGTAGTGTCTGTAAGTGTGAGTGAAGTATAAACATTTAGAGAAATTTGAAATAATACCTCTTCGAACCCGCGCACGCTCGCGCACACCCTCGCAACAGCATCCGCGAAGATCGATGATGTTTTACGGCAGCTTGTGCGATAAATGCCGAACAGAAGAGATCGATCCGAATTCGATTGCGTGGCACATTTAAGGAAACCGGTTACATTATATCGTTCACGCGCGGATCCTGAACGAACAAACAGCAGCACGTGTTTTCCTTTGAATGTTATTCAAGGGTGTGTTAGAGCAAAATACACGTCAAATTTCAACTCTTGATAAGAAATTCAAAAATAAATTTCAGATTTTTTTAAACATAATCATACATAGCTTAATTTTAAAAAAACTTATTAAAACATTGTGAACTCATAAATTTTGATTTTTAATTTTTAAATTTGCTTAATTTTTTAATTTTACGGAATAATCAACAATAAGACTTAAAAAAAAATATCCTACGAATATATTTTTTCTTTACGTGGAAAAAGTATGAGCGCACGCACCTATGCATTTGATATTCAGCGTGAGCAGGAGCAATGTCGTGGTCGTTATCGCCGCGGCGGCACATGTCCTTCCTGAGTAATTCTCGCTCGGCATATTGCTCGTCCTGGCAGATTACAGTCACGCAGAACCATGATTAATGATGACGCAAGAACACTAACGTAGGCGGACACATTATCGCGTCTCACCGATCGGTACTGACTTCCGTAGTTTCGTGATTTTGTGCATTATCTCACACGCAAAATAGAAGAACACTTTTCTCGCGTGCACCAGGACACCAACTCCGTATAAAATTCGTAATTCGAAAGCGAGAGCAAGCAACGAAGAGAAGCGTTAGCAACAACGTCGATACTAAACATCCATAATCGGCGGGGGTGGTCGGAGACTCGCTGTTCGGAAGGATGCGCATGCGGCCATCTTTGTTTTCTCTCTTCTTCTGTCGAGTTCTGTCGCTTTAGCCCTCTGAACTCCATTTGGTCCATGTGTATTTAATTTTATCTGTGGATGTACCGGGTGACAAGTGAATTTTACCTGTTTATAGGAAAAAAAGAGTATTTATTTAATATTATCACACATATATATGTTTATTATTTCTTATGTTCTTCATATGATTTATTATGATAAAAAATATTATTTAATTATTTAAACTTTTATAAGTTTAGATCATGTAAAATTAGATAAACTATTATGAATACAATATATTTATACTTTATATATTACCAAATATATATTAAGATTTAATAAAAGTAAGTTTTTATTTTTCATCAGTTATAAATATATATCAGATATAACTTTCGATCAAAGAGCGCAGAAAATATAAGACTCTATAAAGAAACTATGTGGAATAAATTATTGCGAGAGTAGATCTGAAGCACCTTGTTCAGTTTTAAACATTATTGTGATCTATCTTTCCATTTCTTTTATGGGAATTTAATGCAAGATATACAAAACCAAAACCTAAAAAAATATTTTCAAATACTATTCGGACTATAGCTATGATAAACAAGAATGCAGTATAAAATATAGTGTCGAATATTAGAATTTATAGGATTGTAGATTTTGTGTGAGCAATCGTATATAGAGAACACGCATACACACAAAGATATTAAATATCAATAAATGCCACATCTCACAATAAAAATTATGTATAATAAAATTAAATGTAAGTAATCACATATATTTTCACCTATTTATTTTTAGTCATAGTACTTAACCTGTTTTAATCTTTTACCCAAAGTTGCCATCTTCGCATAAACGATTTTAATCTGAAATTGGCTACTAGCATGCTAGTATCCTTGTGCACAAGGATAAAAGATTAAAGTCAAATAGTTTGGAGTATTTTTTAAATTAGAACTAATTACGTTGTATGTATAAGAAAAGACAATTTATGCCTTTAATAAGTTGCAATATAATATCTCAATATGTCAACAATGAAAAATACAAAATCACTTTCTTTCTCTTCAAGTTAGCGACTGATAGTAAGAAACAAAAGATATATGTTTCTCTTTTTCTTGGACTCTTTGAGTGGAGACAGACGCGCATTCTACGAGTTGCGCAGTCAATCAAAAAATGAGAAATCGACAACAGTGTTAAAATGTATTGGCTCGTCCATAACGGAAAAGTCGAAATTGTGACGCTCAAAATTACTGAAGTTTTATTGTACAACTTCATATAAAAACATTAACGCCCCTATAGAAAAATAATATATTATTACAATAATGGATAATATAAAAATGCCGAGTATATCAAATGGCAATCAATTAGACCAACAATTTCTGAATAAGTTGGTCGATTTACAAAATAATACGGTGAAAATACGACTTATATCGATTAATACTTAACACGCGGTTAACCTTTTTTTAAATATTGCACAGTAAATCTTTGATATATATTATATTTATAGAAGTTTATTTTTTAATTAAAAACACAAGATTAACATAAGAATTAAAAAAAAATAAAGTATATAGAATAAGTGCATTATTCTCAAAAAACAAGCATCAGAATCACGCGAATTCTATTTTTAATCATTTTTGTAAAACTAAAATAAGAAGTCTTAGAAGACTCAACTTTTTAAGAGAAGAAAACTTTTTTTAATGAAAAAATTGCTAAATATCTCATATAACTTATAGTTTGCGTTATATGTACACATTTCGAGAGCGCAGGATTCTCTGGAAGCGACAAGTAAAAAACTCCTGAAAATTCGCCTCGCTTTGTACAACACAGAAGTGGAGTTAGAGCAGGAACGCGGAGTTTCTCGCAAATTAAAAATGCAGCTGAGAGCAGCCACGGACGCGCTCAACGAATTGCAACAGCAGCAAACAAAAAATCAGGTCGAGAGCGTCCAATTACGAGTCAAATACGACGCAATGACGAAACAATACGACTCCTTGATGAATCAGATGACGACCGCGAAAATGCGCGAGATCAAATGCAAACTTAAAATTCAGTCCCTAGAAGAAAATCTGTGTCAGAAGAACGCGATTGGCAAAAGATTGGAACAAACATTGAAGGAGTTTGAACGTGATACTTTGCGCACCATCACGACTATCGATCAGTAAGTTTACGTTCCTCGTAAATGTAAGTATTTTATCACATCGGAAATATTTGATCTATTTAGTATCAGTTTTATATCCAAGTTTCGTTGTCATTTAAAAAATTTTTTCTTTTTTGATCAATATGAAATCGATTTCCTATGACGTTTAGTATTAAGTAATATCTAAAATAAAATTATAAGTGCATTTTTTAAAACGTTACTATTTTTTATAAGTATATTTTTTTCATCGCTTTCAGCAAAATTGTGAAACTCAAACAGGAACATCAACATCTACAGAAATCATGTGAACAAGTTATTAGTTTAAATCACCGTTTGCAAGCCGCGGGCATGTGCACACATGCGATACATGAAAAGAATAAAGCACAAATAAAAGATTTAGAATATATGCTTGCTTCAATATCAGTCGGAAATTATAACGAGAAGATCCGTCAATCATAACGTTCGTTCCTGAGAGAGAGAGAGAGAGAGAGAGACAGAGAGAGAGAGAGAGAGAAATAGAAAAAATACACCTTCGTAAATTCACAAAAGAATTGACGCAGAATGGGATTTTGTCAATAAATACATCGATACGTATATGTACAGGATTAATAAAAAATGTATTATAATAATCGTTCGTATATTTAAGTATAAGATGAACAAGTTTCGATGGTAAAAATGCAAACTTGTAAGATGCACATTATGACAACCAGCGAATAAAAAGAGATTTGTTTATTGTAAATTCTTGTAAACAAATCTACTTCTTTTCTCTCACATACACACACACAAACACACACACACAAACACACACACACACACACACACGCGCGCGCGCGCGCGCGTATAATATGCGCAAGTAATTCCGCTGGAAAATCAAGGCTCGCGTACTATGTTCGATTTACTTCACAAACCTAATAAAACATTCTATGACTATATCTGTGATGTAAGAAAATGGTCTATAAAGTTCCTGTTCAATTCATCACAAGGCATTTTAATTACATCAAGTTAATGCACTAGCATACTTTATGTTTTTCTGTTAATTTTGTGAAAAAGCTATATCTGTTCGGTAACAGTATAAAAACGATCGTGATATCTATACTGCTAACATCTTACTTTTATTTTAGTTTAATCATTGTATGTGTGTGATGTTGCACAGTGTGATACATGTTTCTATATACAGAGTCCGGCCGAATAACATGTACAAGCGGGTACGACGTAATTCCTCGTGAAATAATAAGAAAAACAGATTATTAAAAAAACAAAAAAAACCTGATATTTCTGATGCAAACATATTTATAATTGCACTAATACTCAGTGTACGTAGCCTCGTATTCACCGTAATTTTTAGTTTCAAAAGTTTAACGAGCATTTAAATTATAAAAACTATAGTATAAAGTTTTTTTCATTTTCGGCTTAATTTTCGAGAAAATCGAGTTTGAAAATCCGCTGCGTTACGATTAAGATACGGTTCGTCGAGCGACGAACATATAAACAAACGCGTATTGTGTTTGTAAACAAACTCGATTTTCTTGAAAACTCATCCAAAAATAAAAAAATTTATTTTACATTTCTTGCTTATTTTTTCATGAGGAATCACGTTGTGCCTGCTTGTATTTATTATTCGGCCGAACCTTGTATACTTTGCTGTTTTAATGGCCTAGTTTACACCGTACATCTTTTTGGTACGCGAATCAAATAAAATTGTTTTTTCAATATATAATTTTGATGTTTACATCATTACAAACGTGCTTGATACGCATATCATTTTGATATGATACGCGTGAAGAAGACATATCGTGCCAGTTTAATATGACATCGTTTACATTATTGAGACTAAGCCGATTTAATATGAATATAATACTTAATACGCATATTAAGCGATCGGTGTAAACTAGGCTAATTAATAGACACGCATGGTCCTCGTATAAAACAAAAAACGCACTCGCATGAAAAACATGCTGAAATATGAATTTGATGTACAAGAACAATGTATACTTTATCCCATCGCCGTAAAATAAAATAGCACGCGTACTAACTTTTTATATTTATTGAATTTCCGATAATAAAAACCGAGATCAAACATATCCATTGTGTGAGAAAATCAGAGGAGAAATTTATCGTGATCGATATACATCATTTTTCTTAGTCGATTTAATAAATTATATCGTAAATGTTTTAAATACCATGATAAGAAGCACACTACGTTGGATTGGTGAAATACTGGAATAAAATAATATTATATCGCTGCGTTTGTGTCGCACAACAAAGATTTTGAAGGCGTTAATTGACTTGGAGACAAAGTTTTCTAGATAACTGTACGAGAATAGTCATTTAATTAAATTTTTATCTTACGAAAAACAAACGCAGTTGTAACAGCAGTCAACGAATCCTCTTGATGCACACACATTGTACAGAATAAAAAACCGTTAAATCCTGATCAATCTATTTATCGTTAAACCATAATTCATTTTATGATATAAAATAGTATAGCGCACATACTATTATCAATTGTGTTAATTAAAAAAAGTACGTTTCTTATAGTAAACAAACTAAATACTTTCTCCTCTGAAGATTTCTTCGACAAAACATGTGTTGTGAAAAAATAATTTTAGATCCTTTAATACGAGAATATTTTTATCGTTAAAGAGTTAATCCATTGAATCCGATGCACATGACGTGAAATGACGGCGAAACAAAACGTAAGTTTCATCCGACGAAATGAACATAAGTAAATAATAATAGTAAATAGACGCGCTTCGTTGAATAGTTGATAATATTTAAGGGGTCAGAGTATAGTACAACGAGCGAGCCAACTAGGTGGCTTCCTTTGTGGTTCTGAAGCTTTCAACTGATGACCGCCGCCTTTTGGTGGATTTGATGCCTCCTGCGTAAAATAAAAGCGCAGTTAACAAGATCGTTTTAATATATCAGCATATGTATTTAATGAGCAGTAATCATAGTTATCTGAATGACAAGTTTTTGATACACTGCTCCAAAAATAAACTGTTTATCAATAGATTAGTAACTCAAAGACAATTAGTAATAAAAAGCATAACATAGCATGAATATTATCATAAGTAGTATTTCTTCTTACTCATAACTGCAGAAATGTTTAGCTACAAGATGTGTTAGTTGTTAATAATAAAATATAAATCAATTTGAAACACGATTAAAAAAGAAGGTATACGTTATTTTCATATTATATTCATAGTACAATAAACATTTCAAAATTAACATTACATGTTTTTTTGCGATCGCTTATAATTATTGAACATATTTGATGATGACAAATTAATTTAACAAAACATGCATGGAGACATAAATTAATAGATAAGGTAAAGGTGCCTATTACGATAGTTGCCTAATAGATAGCGAGCTATTTCATGTACGACTACAATACTATTTCATGCGTATTTTTAACACATCACTACACAAAACTATCAAACTTTTTGTTAGTATCGCTCACTACCAAAGGTGACGTGGTGTTTGCAAAGAAGGTATTACGTACGCGCAGAGAAGAAAATTAATCATTATAAATTTTAAAATATGTATTTACCACTTTTATGTCATAGACTTCATTGTCATTTCAATTCACTCAAATGTACACATGCATTATAAGTTTTTTATCATGTAGTTTTGTCAATTTATTACATACTTTGTCGGTATAAACTTAAACTTTCTACAATTCTATATTCCCTAATATGAGGCACGCAGTCGCTCTTAATGAGGTACTTTATATTAGGAAATGTCAAGTTCTTTATTTGACATATTAGTAAGTTTTTAGTAATCATATTTTTAGATAGAGGCACTCGTGGTCTCACAATCAATTAAAGGTTGTTAAGGCAGTAAGAAGCAAAGAAGGAAGATATTCAAAAACATTTAAACAATTCAATGTCCCAAAACATATTATTGAGCGATATGTTAAGAATGACGATAATTCTGTTGTTGTTAAGATTCATATAGGAAAGAAATCTCTTATGTCTCATATTAGAAACCTTTTTTTTTGAATTAGCAAAATTGGCATTTTCAATTAAAAAAATTCACATAAAACAGAATATAAATATTATCGATTGCTCACTTTTGGCGATAAAACTTGAACATATTTCCCATAAGTTTGACATAAAACTAAGAGTTAGGTTTACATATTTAATAAATTACAAGTCTTTAAAAAAAGGTATCTCATAATAGGCACCTTTATCCTGAGATCTACAAATAATATATTGATAACACAACATGCAGTGATCAATTAGGTGATTACAGAATGCTTAACTAATTGCTGTATATATTTTATAAATATAGAAACTAACTAAATACAAAAAGTTACCTTCTGCCAAAATAGACCAGCACCAAACACAGAGAAATAGAAAGACAGGAAACAGAGAAACAATGGTTATTTAGTAATATACATGTGAGAAAAAATACATGTTTATACAAACATCAAAAATATGATCAATTTAGTATTGTAATAATTAAGCATATCTTTTCTCAATTTGTACATATATATTATTCTATTTATTTATTGAACCTGTTTGTAAGTAAAAAATTTGCATATTGAAAGATAAATATTAATTAACACAATAATTTATAAGTCATCATATTCAGAAAATAAGTTTGAGAAATTTATAAATGTTTGAGATATAAATAACAGAATTCATGTTTTCTCACCAGTTTCTTTTCCATTTTTGCTTTGATATCACGTGCCAAAGTATAAAAAGCCTCTTCTACATTGATACTAGATTTTGCTGAAGTCTCCATGAACTTAATGCCATATTCAACAGCTAATTGCTCACCTCTCTCTTTTGTCACTTGCCTCTTGTCTGTAAGTTCGCATTTATTGCCTAGTAACATTTTTTCCACATCTGCCGATGCATTCTCCTCAATATTACGAATCCAGTTTTTAATGTTCTCAAAACTTTTATCATTAGTAACATCATACACCAACATAATTCCCATTGCACCACGATAATAAGCTGTGGTTATGGTACGAAATCTTTCTTGTCCTGCAGTATCCCTACAAATACAAAATTTCATGATATTTATTATAAGTGACTTAAGTTAAATTTATATATTATAAATAATATATTAACTTTTAATATGAATTAATTGGCTGGAATAATAACTAAACATTTAGATGAGTTTACCATATCTGTAGTTTTATTTTCTTGCCATCCAATTCAATTGTGCGAATTTTAAAGTCAATGCCTGTAACACACATAACAGCATGATAAATCAACTATTGGAACATATTTTCTCAAAGAGATATAAGGAAACAGATAAGGAGTGATTCGTGTATATGGTGGTGAATCACATTACACACTTAAGTAGTTGGCAAAGCATAATGTGCCTCTTTGTCTAATATGACACTTAAATCTCGAATATGTTTCTTGAGACACACTTCGGATCACGAAAACCCATCACAACAACAAGACCAATATTAAAATGATGGAACAAAGATGTGCTAGAAAGAAAAAAAGAATAGTAAAGAAGAGTGATCGTCGTATACACGTACCGATAGTAGAGATGAAGGTCGTGTTAAACGCGTCCTCAGAGAATCGGAACAGCACACAGGTCTTGCCCACGCCGGAGTCACCAATCAGCAGCAACTTGAATAAATAATCATACGTTTTTGCCATTGTCGCGCGCGCAGTGATAACTCGACGTTCAACGGCCACCGCTGGACTCCTTGAGCAATATTATCGTCTTCACGGTGCTTCTAGGAAGTTTCCTTGGACCCGCACTGGACTACTCGCAAAACCAACTGGCTACAAGACTGTCTTTTTCTTCTGTGTTTTCCTCTTTCACTCTTTTTCTCTCTTCCTCTCTCCGTTTCTCTTAGGAGATATTTAGACACTTTGTCGAGACATTTGACGAAACGCGTTCTCCTTCTTCTGGTGTTTGCTCTCTCTCTCTCTCCTTTTCACACGTTTCTCTCTTGCTCTTTTCTGCTCTCTATCTATCTGTCTCTTTCGCTTTCTCTAGGTCCAACAAATTTTAACACAATTCGAACGATGACAACACAAGCGGCAACATGTATCTTTCTACGCGGGATTCGAGAAAGAAATGCACTTTGCCTCGCTCGTTCGCGCGTGCGGTCGCAAATTTAACAAAGTAGATTAATCATGCAAAACATCTGTCATAAAAAGCGATGACAGCAACTCATCTACCGCAATTTTTCCCTCATATTGTGGCCACCTTGACTTCGCGTTGCCAGCACTTCGGCGGATGCGTACACAGGCTTCTGTAGGTAAGTTCCACTTGCCGTTCGCAACGCTCGTGAGCGTTACCTATCTTTGTTTGACTATCGATAAAAAACAAGGACAAAATGGGTGCGTTCAGACAACTTAAGGGCGACGTCCCATTGAGCGGAAATCTATAGCGGAACGGAATGTGCGGAACCAGCTCGACCAATCATAGCCATTCCGTTTTCTTTCCTTCGCTTTTTCTGTGGTTACGATTGGTCGAGCTGGTTCCGCACATTCCGTTCCGCTATAGATTTCCGCTCAATGGGACATCGCCCTAACGGTTGAGAGATCATCACTTATGATAGGACTATTCTTCAAAATCTGAAGCGGTTCCAAAAGTATGATCCAATCAGAAGTGATTATCTCTCAACCGTTGTGCAACTGTTGAGTTGTCTGAACGCACCCAATGATTCCATAAGAGTTGCGAACAGCAAGTAGAACCTACCCATACACACTGAACTCTATATACACTGGAATGCGCATCAAGAAAAATTCATGGCATTTTTTATTCTACATTGTTAACACATGCAGAAACTGATATATTTAACACCAAAATCCTTACCTATGAAATGAAATCCCTTTTTTACTTCTCTGCTCACATCCGGACACGCAACATCTCATGTCACTAATATTACAGATGTTTTTCACATATACTTATACAACCGTAACACGTTTCTACGCGTGCTAGAAGAATGCTTCTGATTCATTGTAGCGGGACGCGGAACGCACTTTTGATTTGCTAAAATACCAGGCCAAACAAAAATGGCGCTGATCAATTTGTGCCACGTCTCGCTATGCTTGTTAGGCGAAGATGCGCATTCCAGTGTATATAGAGTTCAGTGCCCATACACTATACTGTGTTCAAGTCGAGAAAAGAATTCGACTGCGCATGAGCAGAGTTGGATTATCCGAGCATTTTCTAGAGAGTTTTACATGTTACAGTTTTTTAAGGTAAAATACGTTAAAGGCTGCGGCTGCGTTCCGAGTTACGTATGCGCCCATTTATTTATAGTACACGTATAGTATAAAGCTGCGTTCCGTTTCACGCATATGCGCGCATTTGTCTATACTATACGTGACGTGTACTATAGATAAATGCGCACATATGCGTAACTCGCATGGTGGAAGTAATAAGGTGTGCTTGTTTCTCGGACAATTTTCTGGCAAATTCGATTGGCGTGCACTTGCTCCGTTTCAGTGGCTAGTAACTTTTTGTTACTAAACGTACTCGGAGCGTGCATACTGAACTGAGTGCGGGTGCAACCGTCGGACGAACTGCCTTCGCGAGACGAAATCCGATTGGCGGACATCCAACGCGAGAGGGAGTAGCGCGCACGAGAAGAAGAGCGGCTCATGGAAATGGCCAACGAGGAGGCGCAGGCGCAGTTGCAACGTCTCGTGTTAATGATACAAGAGGGCGCACGAGACCAGGCCGAGAACGAATCATCAGAGGGCAGCACCATCGACCAGACGGACCTTTTCTGGACGGACCGGGAGATTTGAATGGCCCAGAAAGATTCGAAAACAATAATGCCAAAAATGCAAAAGAATAAAATTTTTTAGGTATAAGGAAATTAGAAAGATAAGTTAGGATAAGGCGACATAGTCAGGAATAAGCAATATATAATTATTATGAATTAATGGCTATGAATTTAAATTTTTGGTTTAGTTTTCGTTTGTTTTATTTTTTTTTGTATTATTATTATTATGGGTGTTATTAATAAATATTAGGTATATATTTGAATAAAATAAGAACCGTGATACAAATTAATTGTTTATTTCGACATAATAAAGGCAAACATATAAAAAATGAGAAAAACAAAAAAGAAACTTCAGAAGAAAGCGCACACAATACAAAATGAGCGAATACACGATTCCAGGAGAAAAAGATAATTAAAAAACTAATATAACAACTTAATTTTAGAAAAAAGAATATATATTCACAGATCCGCAAAACGGAAAGACGAATCTTCTGGAATGGTGTAGAAAGAGCGAGATAGAATCTTCTCGAAACCTCGATGATCCAATTTTAAAAAATTAAGGAATAACACAGGTGCAAACATGATGAGAAAAGCGCTAGAAAATGGAAACCGAGAAAAAATTTCGTTAAGGATGAAGCAATAAAAAAATTGATCACGAGGATTCCAGAAGGATCGAAGACCCGCTATAGGGGAGAGGGAAACCGCTATATAAGAGCGCGGGTTGAGCCAAAAGAGGTCGTCAGATAACGAACGGTCGAGCGATTAAATATAAGGAAAACTCGCGAAATCGCAGAAAAATCGATCGCGGCGATAAGTACTCGGGATTAACCACCTCGTATACACCGAGTAACAATTTATTCAATTTGTTCATACAATAGAGGATAAAATAAAAGAGTTGCCGAGACAAGTGTAACTAATGTAAAAAGTTTGTGTAATAAAACAGTGTTGAAATGTTAATATTCCGTGTGAGTTAATTAACGAAACATTGGAACCAAACTGCACAAGAAAGCACCATCGGAAATTGCGAACGGCTCGACATCGGAAGCTGATTGGTGAAGCAGCTAGGGTGACTAGATTACATCACAGGTGATTGGCGGTGCTTCTGTGCATTACAAAGGCATCTAGAAATACAATCCCGGATTGGCGAAAACCCTGAGCAGCATCCAAGCGGTGTGCAGGTATTTAGGAGAGCGCAATAATAAGGTAAAAGAAGGCGACCAATGAGAAACAGGTAAGCAATTAAATTCTAAAACTTTCAAATCAAACAAGAAGGGAAAGAAAAGGTCTCGAAGGAAATAATCCAGGTGATAAAGTCAGTATCGAAAAAGCGATAGTGTCAATCAGGATCCAAAAGAGACGGCATCGAATCCGTAAAACTTATTAAAACTCTACGTGAGTATTAAATTAAATTACTGCGTGGAGTACAGACAATCTTGTCGGTAGTGCAGAGAAAACCGACTGGCGACCGTGAAAAAATAATTATAATTAAAATAAACGCCTAGGGACGTGATTTTGGGGAGTTCCGGTCACACGGGTACTACACTGATCCAATTAGGGCGCACCTCGGAGTGTGCATACTGAACTGAGTGCGTGTACTACACTGATCTAACACAGTGCCACCTGAATGCAATAGTAATTTGCACTGACTTAACTCAGTGCAACTTTATATAAAAGGTTATGTAAAAAGAAAAGAAATATCAAAGTTAAAGTCTTTATATTAAGTCTTTATTTAAACAGAAATAAAAAAATTACGCACATCTTCAAATTCACGAGCAACTAATCCTTTTTTGTTTTCTGTATCTGGCATCTTTATTATGTTTGGAGCAAT